ACACTGCATCAATTATTTGTCTTCCTTTGATGAACGCCATTTGTTGAGCATCGACAATTTTCCAAACCACCCCTTAAGTCTTTCAGTTAAGACTTTTGAGAGCAATTTGTAGAAGCTCCCTATCAAACTGATCGGTCTGAAATCTCTCAATTCTTTCGCACCTGTCTTCTTTGGAATCAAAGCTATATATGTTGCATTGAAGCTTTTCTCAAACATCTCCTGTGAATGGAAGTTGTTAAAAGCCGTCATGATATCTTCCTTCAAAATGTCCCAACACTTTCTGAAAAAACTCATTGTGTATCCATCTGGACCTGGAGCCTTGACACTTGCACACATCTTCAGACTGCTCAGCACTTCTTGTTCCTCAAAGTTCCTCTGTAAAGACTCCCTTTCTGATTCAGAAATGCTTGAACTATTTTCGAAATTGACTGTTGGTCTCCACTGTTCAGGTTCTGTGTATAGCTCCTTGTAGAATTCAATGATCTCATTCTCTATTCTTTCTGGATCCTCGACAACTTCATGTCGAATCATTATTTAGTCAATGTTGTTGTTTCTCTTGCGTGCATTTGCAGTCCGATGGAAAAATTTTGTATTCCTATCCCCTTCTTTGAGCCACAGAGCTCTTGATTTTTGTCTCCATGCAATTTCTTCATTCTTGAGTTGCTCCTCAATCTCCATTAGAGTAGCTGCTTTCCTCACTGATTCCTCCTCTGTCAACGCTCTTTGTTGTTGTGTTGTCTCAAAATCTGCTAGTTTACTTAGCAATTTTGATTTTTGCAGTCCCAAATTGCCTTCGTAACTTCTGCTCCATCCTTTTAGCTTGCCCTTGAGAGCTTTTAACTTGCAAGCTAAAATGTAATCAGGTCTTCCTGAGAATTCAAAAGATCCCCACCACTCTCTAATTCTGTCATCAAAACCTTCCACGTTCAGCCACCAATTTTCAAACTTAAAGTATGATTTAGCTTGTTCCCACGCACCACAGTATAGAGCCACAGGTGAATGGTCCGAAATCAACCTTTGTTGGATAGTTTGCTTGATGTTTCTGAAGCTTACATCTCATTCTTCTGAAATAAGAAATATATCAATTCTTGAAGTCGCTGTATGATTGTCCCCTTTGAACCAAGTATAGTTTCCTCCTTTAAGTCGAAGATCTATCAACTCCATATCTTCTATAAAATCCGAGAACTCCACCATCACTCTGGACCTCCTTGAACATTCCCGTTTTTCAGAAGGGTACCTTGTAACGTTAAAATTGCCACAAACCGCCCAAGGACCTTCCATCAATCCCCTCACTGCACCAATTTCTCTCCACACTTCTTTCCTTTCTATTCTACAATTTGGAGCGTACACTCCTGTTATGTGACATTGAAAATTCTGTACAAGAGCGTCAAACTTGCACGTCAAAGTGTATGCACCAGTCTGTAACACCTCCCCTTTCCATACTCTGCAATCCCATAACAACAAAATCCTCCCTCTCGTGCAGCTAGCTTCTAAACTTGTATACCTCACACATCTACCACCCCATATTTGCCTGACTATTTCCTCGATATCCCCCTCGACTTTTGTCTCTTGCATGCATATAATGTCTG